CCCATAGATGGGATCACTATTGATAGCATGAGTTTATTGAATCAACATCTTCATCAAGGTAAGTAATGTGAGGGTAACGTGTAACATACCACAGTGATTGATGATGCAACATTAGAGACAGTAATGCGACGAAAGCTAGAGGCTAAAAATACTCAGATGCAACACACTGAATACAGGGAAAAGAACGGCCGAAGCACCAGAAAGAGAAAACGCACCAATTACTCTTCTGGAGGAGAAGGTGTGATCAGTCAAATCAGGGTGAAGGGTGGCTGATAAAAGCTCTTTCAGATAGTCAAGATGGAAATCATGAACAGGAGGATCATCAGATGGATTTGGAGTCTCCTAAAGCAAACACCTCTTTGGCTGATCATTATGGTTGGTTGAAGTAAATTTAAGTAGACTTGCAACTGATGTTTTCTTCACAGGTGATGAGTTAGAGGATGAAGAGCCCTGGGATTTAGAAGATGAAAGGACCTGGGCTGATCAGGAGGCCTTGGATGACAAAGAACCCTTGAATGACAGGGAACACTTGGATGAAGAAGAGCCCTTCAATGAGGAAGAGGACTTGGATGAAGAAGAACCCTTTGAAAAAAGGCACATATATAATAGTGAAGGAGAAAGTGAGATAGACTCAGACAATGAAGATGATGGACCAACAGGTAATGCCATCTAGTCATTCATATGAGAAAAAATACTAATGCAATACAGAACATCTCAATCCCATAGATGCATTTCTGGGCACTATCGACTTCAATGCAATTGACAGCTGTGCTGACCAATTTTTGGGATCTCTTTGTTCATTGCGATCACAAGAACGCATGAACCAAACTGAAGTGGCAGCCAACTCCATCAGTATAGAGCAATCCATTCGATCTTTGACCATCTCTCCATGGGCTTCAGATCATCCACAGATCATTGCAAAAATATGGCCAAAACACGATATCCTCTTGAAATCCATGCAACTTTCAACAGTTGAGCTCTACGCCTGTAGGCTAATTTATATGACAGGCATTGCAGCACCTTATACTTGGGTTGAAACCATTGTCTGGGAGGCAATCAATACCGAGCCTTCAGTGAATCAGACTTCTGCCCCAGCAGACTACAAACCTAGCTGGGTGCACCAGCTGGTCAAAGATCTGAAGGGATTGTATCTGAGTGGCCTACACAAATCAGAGATTGTACCCTTTCCTTCGACAAAGTATCTTCCACATCTGGAAGAGCCTGTAACTCACCAGCACAAAATTGGACGTGTGTTATATGACACA